CACTGAAAAAGTTACAAAAACAACAGAAATTAATGTGCTTAGAAAAGAAAGGAAGGCAGTTCCTCAGTTACTTTAAGGGGACGGCAAGAATGCCTATGCAAAAAAGTTTAATGAGTGCAAAATTTGGCTGCAGCATGTAGAAATCTATCAAAAACAAAATTTAACTGCGAAAATAGGAATTTTTATGCTAAATCCAGCATAAAACACATTAAAATTACTCGGAAAAAACTATGAAAAACGGGTAAATGGTTGAAAAACGCTAAAAAAAAAATTGTACTTAAGCACAACTGGGTCAAAAAAAGGAGCGGAGACGAAACTGCGTTTTGCATTCTCCACCAAAAATCGTGAAGTGTCACTGGTCGTCAATAAGCACAGATATGGATAACAAAGAACCATGAATTCAGTGTTTCACGTCCAGCTACAGCACTTGTTCATTTTTCTTGCTTGTGTGTAGAATAATTTACTTTGATTCGAGAGACCTTCGCTTGCTGCAACCAAATCATCCAGCTTTTCGCCACGCTCCAACACTGACTGAATCGTGTTATGCAGTACCACTTTCGTTTCTTCCACTTCTTCCTGAATTTGCCCGCGTATAAAACAAATGAATTATGGTAATGCAATTGCCGAAAGTATTAAGACAACTCGAACAATCGGTGAAAAGAAATCCCGTTTTAGTAGTGTTATGGGGATGTTCCCACACGCCGAATGCAGCTATGGCATGGATTATCGGTGTCTTTATAGTGATGAATGACATAACTAATAAAAAAGAACATGACGGATCCCGGTACTTCCACACTACAAAAAAGAAGGCAAAATAACGACGATCAGGATAAGTTCCTGAGACAAGCTACAGAACTGAAACTTTACAGTGATATTCACTGTGCGTGCGTGAGCTAAAAATTTCAAATTCAATCCCTAGATGTTTGAGTTTCTCACGTATTGGCACGTGAAATACTTGGCGAGAAAATTGCTAACTCGGTAGCCAGAAGAGGAAGAGCTAGAAGTCTTAAATTTTAAAGCGATGTTTCTCGTCAACGTACAGTTTAAGGGTTTCAAACTCAATCCACAGGTACGTGTAATATTCACGTAAGAGCATGCGAAAGTTTTGGTAGAAAAATCACTAATCAGGGAATCAGGAAAGTTGGAAAGCTAAAATTTTATTGCAGTGTTCCCTGTCCAAGTATAAGTTAAAGAATTCAAATTTAATCTCCAGGTATGAATGTCCTTGCGTACGGACAATTAAAAGTTTTGGAAAAAAGTGCTCACTGGGCAGCTAGAACACTTTCAAAGAACGACTGTTAAACGGAAATTATTCATTTCCTTTATGCACAGTTTACGATGATTTGCGGCAGTGAGCGCAGAGGATTACGTGTAAAGCAACAACCATTCATGCAGTCAACGATCTGATTACTTCAAGTTTGCTGTTAAAACGCAAGATCGCATCAGCAAGCCCGATGCGTTCCAGTCTGGTCTTTTTTGCAAGCTAACTCGGTAAGTTACCGCAACGTTAAAGACAACAGGAATTTGAGCTTTCCAAAATTTTCAACACGAAACTCACCCTATCTTTCAACACGCTCAAAACAGAGAAGCGCATTAGCCACCTAAATCATCCGAAGTCTCGTCTAATTCACCTGAGAATGTCCGCTGATTTTATATAAATATAAAAATTTTGTCGGAATATGCGAAAAATGCCAAGTACTCTTCAGAACGAGAACTGATCGTGCGGGCAAAGACTTTACAGTGCAACGCGGAGAGGAAGGGAGAAGTCTGCTATGCGAACCTGTACTCGAGTCATAGCGTCGGCATCACGAGGATTCTGCCATTTCGCGAGAAGCTCAGGTAATCCCGCATATGTGCAATCTTTCTCCGTTTTTATTTGTGCCTGAAATAGACAACAATCTCAGTTTGGTTTTCTCACAGTATAACAAGTTTGCATTACGAGCTCTCTCGTGGATCATGCGAAAATACAATAATTCGGGGTGCAGGAGGGAAAACTCTCTCGTCTTTGGGAATTTTGAAGGCTTTCTTAGCAACGGAGGCTTGCTTCATGAGCAAGAAAATATCAACGATAAAACTTCGTCTCAACTCGCTCGAAATTCGGACGGTTCAAACATAATAAATTTCAGACTGATAATATAGCATCTACACAAAACTTCTCTTGCTTTCTTCAAAAATATTCAAAAGCCTCCAAAATAATAAAAAGTATGGCGTACTTATCCAAAAAAGAAACGAAAAATCAGATCGAAATTGACTGACTGGGGTTATACACGGGGGAAATTTAAGTAAGTTATACATGAAATATGACTGGCTTCAGAACAATTTCAAAATTTAATAAAAATGTGAGCAGCAGCAACAGTTGCCAATTTGAAACATGTCTATCAGAACCATATGACCGCGATCTATTGCCTGTATGTGACTTCAAATTAATAACATGCAATTACACAATGGTACTGCTGACCAAGGCTTTCAAATCTTAGCTGCAGCTTGTAGCTAAAGTGAAAAATAACTGTACGAAACACAGGCAAATTAGCTGATTAAATGCCGACACAACAGACATAACTGAAAAAATCGCTTCATGTTCTTCCTTACCACCGATGCAATTTTTTCATTCTCTATTTTTAGGCATCCCTTACTCTTCTTTTTCTCACAAAGTATTGGAAAATGTTGCAATGCTGCTGACAGGTTGTAGCGACAAGAGGTAAGAGGAATAGAACAGTCGATTTTGTTTATATGATATTAGTGAAGAAGCCAAATAATACAACCTCATTTAAGCTAGCCGGTATGTGCACCGGGTAAC